TAAAAACTAGTTTATTTAAATTTATTTTATGTGCATTGGTGTGAAGGTGTTAGATCTCCTGGAACTGGAGTTATAGATGGTTGTGAGCTGCCATGTGGGTGCTACTATGTCCTTTGCCTTACAGAAGCTTCTCAGTTTCAGGAGGTCCCATTTATCAATTGTTGATCTCAGTGTCTGTGCTATTCAGGAAACAGTCTCCTGAACCAATTTGTTCAAGGGTATTTCCTTTCTCTTCTAATAAGTTCAGTGTGGCAGGGTTTATGTTGAGGTCTTTGATCCATTTGGACTTAAGTTTTGTGCATGGCGAACGACATGGATCTGTCTGCAGTCTTCAACATGCCAGCATCCAGTTATGACAACACCATTTGTTGAAAATGCTTTCTTTATTCCATTGTATAGTTTTAGCATTTTTGTCAAAAATCGGGTGTTCGTAGGTGTGCGGGTTAATATCAGGGTTTTCAACTCTATTCCATTGGTCTACCTGTCTATTTTTTGGGCCAATACCAAGTTGTTTTCAGGATTATAGCTCCATAATAGAGCTTGAAATCAGGAATGTGATGCCAGCGGAAGTTCTGTTATTGTACAGGGTTGTTTTAGCTATCCTGGGTCTTTTGTTTTTCTATATCAAGTTGAGAATTGTTTTCTCAAGGTCTGTGAATAATTGTGCTGGGATTTTGATGGCGATTGTGTTGAATCTGTAGATTGCTTTTGGTAAGATTGCCATTTTTACTATGTTGATCCTACCTATTCAAGAACATGGGAGATCCTTCCATTTTCTGGTATCTTTTTTAATTTCTTTCTTTAAAGACTCAAAATTCTTATGATACAGGTCTTTTACTTTTTTTGGTTAGTGTTACCCCAAGGTATTTTATGTTGTTTGTGGCAATTGTAAAGGGTGATATTTCTCTGATTTCTTTTTAGCACATTTATCATCCATATATAATAGGGCTACTGATTTTTTTTTTAGTTAATCTTGTATCCTGCCACATTGCTGAAGGTGTTTATTAGCTGTAGGAGTTCCCTGGTAGAGTTTTTCAGTTCACTTATATAGACTATCATATCATCTGTAAACAATGAAAGCTTGACTTCTTCCTTTCCAATTTGTATCCCCTTGATCTCCTTTTGTTGTCTTATTGCTCTAGGTAGAACTTCAAGGACAATATTGAAGAGGTACGGAGAGAGTGGACAGCCTTGTCTTGTTCCTGATTTTAGAGGAACAGCCTTGAGTTTCTCTCCATTCAGTTTGATATTGGCTGTTGGCTTACTGTATATTGTTTTTTATTATGTTCAGGTATTTTCCTGTTATTCTTGGTCCTGATCTCTCCAGAACCTTTATCATGAAGGGGTGTTGGATTGTGTCAAAGGCTTTTTCAGCATTAGTGAAATGATCATGTGGTTTTTCTTCTTCAGTTTGTTTATATGGTGGATTACATTGATAGATTTTCGAATGTTGAACCAACCCTGCATCCCGGGGATGAAGGCTACTTGATCATGGTGGATGATTTTTCTGATATGTTCTTGGATTCGGTTTGCCAGTATTTTATTTAGTATTTTTGCATCAATATTCATGAGGGATATTGGTCTGTAGTTCTCTTCCTTAGTTGTGTTTTTGTATGGCTTGGGTTCCCAGGTAATTGTAGCCTCATAAAAAGATTTTGGCAATGAACCTTCTGCTTCTATTGTGAGGAACAATTTGAGGAGTATTGGTATTAGCTCTTCTTTGAATTTCTGGTAGAATTCTGCACTGAAGCCATCTGGTCCTGGGCTTGGGAGATTTTTGATGACTGCTTCTATTTCCTTAGAGGTTATAGGTTTGTTTAAGTTGCTTATCTCTTCTTGATTCAATTTTGGTAAGTGATATATGTCCAGAAAATTGTCCATTTCCTTTAAATTTTCAAATTTTGTGGAGTACAGTGTTTCAAAGTATGACCTGAAAATTGTCTGGATTTCTTCAGTGTTCATTGTTATGTGCCCCTTTTCATTTCTGATTTTGTTAATTTGCATGTTCTCTCTCTGCTTTTTGGTTAGTTTGGATAAAGGTTTGTCTATCAGGTTGGTTTTCTGGAAGAAAACAATGTAACTCTTTGTTACATTGATTCTTTGAATTGTTTTTTTGTTTCGACTTTATTGATTTCTGCCCTCAGTTTGATTATTTCCTGGTGTCTACTCCTCTGGGGTGAATTTGCTTCCGTTTGTTCTAGAGCTTTCAGCTGTGATGTCAAATCTCTGGTGTGACTATTCTCTAGTTTCTTCATGTGAGCAGTTAGAGCTATGAACTTTCCTCTCAGTACTGCTTTCAAAGTGTTCCATAAGTTTGGGTATATTGTGTCCAAATTCTCATTGAATTCTAGGAAATCTTTAATTTCTTTTTTATTTCTTCCTTGACCCAGGAATTGTGCAATTGAGCGTTACTAAATTTCCATGAGTTTCTATGCAATTCATGTTGTTTTTGAAAGTTTTCTGCAATTTGTGTTCTTTTTGAATTCTAACTAAGGCATGGCGGTCTGATAAGACACATTGGGGGTTATCCCAATGTTTTTGTACCTGTTGAGGTTTGCTATGTTGCTGAGTATGTGTTCAATATTAGAGAAGGTTCCATGTGATGCTGAAAAGAAGGTATATTCTTTTATGGTTGGATGGAATGTTCTATAGATGTCTGTTAATCCCAATTGGGTCATAACTTCTGTTAGTTCCTTTGTCTCTTTGTTAAGTTTCTGTCTGGTGATCCTGTTCTGTGGTGAGAGTGAGGTGTTGAAGTCTCCCACTGTAATTGTGTGAGGTCTTATTTGTGATTTGAGTTTTAATAATGTTTCTTTTACGAATGTTGGTGCCTTTGTATTTGGGGCATAGATGTTTAGAATTGAGGCTTATTTCTGATGGATTTTTCCTGTGATGAATATGAAATGACCTTCTTCATCTGTTTTGATTGATTTTAGTGTGAAGTCTAATTTGTTAGATACTAGGATAGCTACACCAGCTCGTTTCTTGGGTACATTTGATTGGAAAATCTTATCCCAACCCTATACTCTGAGGTAATGTCTTTCTCTGAATTTGAGGTGTGTTTCTTGTATGCAGCAGAAGGATGGATTCTGTCTTCATATCAACTCTATTAGCCTATGTCTTTTTTATAGGTGAGTTAAAACCATTAATATCGAGGGGATTTAAGGACCACTGAGTGCTTAGTCTTGTTTGTTTTTGATTTGTTGTTGGTAGTGGTTTTGTATGTGGATATACCCTGCTTTTTCTTTTGGATTTTCATAAAATGGGATTACCTATTTCCTGTTTTTGTGAGTGTAGTTAATTTCCTTATGTTGGAGATTTCCTTCCAGTACTTAATATAGGGCTGGATTAGTGGTTACATATTGTTTAAATCTGGCTTGTTGTGGAATATCTTGCTTTCTCCATTTATAGTGATTGAAAGCTTTGCTAGGTATAGTAGTCTGGGCTGGTATCCATGTTCTCTTAGAGTTGGTAGAATGTCTATCCAGTCCTTCTAGCTTTCAGAGTTTCCATGGAGAAATCCTGTGTAATTCTGATAGGTTTGCCTTTATGTGTTACTTGGACTTTTTCCTTTGCTGCTCTTAGTATTCTTTCTTTATTCTGTATGTTTGGTGTTTTAATTATTATGTGATGAGGGGACTTTTATCTGGTCCACTCTATTTGGTGTTCTGTAGGCTTCTTGTAGTTTCATTTAGGTTGGGCAAGTTTTCTTCTATGATTTTGTTGAATATGTTTTCTGCATCTTTGAGTTGGGTTTCTTCACCTTCTATACCTATTATCCTTAGGTGTGGTCATTTCACGGTGTCCCATATTTCCTGGATATTTTGTGTTAAGGATTTGTTTGACTTAAGATTTTCTTTGCTTGATGAATTTATTTCATCCAGTTTATCTTCAGCATTTGAGATTCTGTCTTCCATCTCTTGTATTCTGATGGTTATGCTTGCATTTGTGGTTCCTGATTGTTTACTCAGATTTTCCACTTCTAGCATTCCCTCAGTTTCCTTCAGTTGTTTAATTGTATTTCCTTGGCTTTCCTTGATTTCTTGCATCTTTTGGTTTGTCTTTTCTTCCATTTCTCTGAAGGACTTTCTGATTTCCTCTCTTAGGTTCTCTATCATTTGCATGATGTTGTTTTTAAGGTTGCTCTCTTCTGCCTCATCTGTGTTGGGATGTTCAGGTCTTGCTGGTGTAGAGTCCCTAGACTCTCTTAGTGTCATATTGGTTTTCCTGTTGTTGGATGTATTCTTATATTGTCATCATCCCATTTATTCTTCCAGTAAGTGCAGGTGGTGTCTCTTCCTTTCCTGGTGTGTACAGGTCCAAGGTTCTCTTCTGGTGGGTGCAATTGGCTCTGATAATCTGATGGGTCTCAAGGTGGGTGCAGGCAGCTCTGAGGCACTTGATCTCCAGGTGGGTGAGAGCAGGACTAGGGCAGAGATGTCAGCAGACTCTGGGTTGCTAGGTCCTCAGAGTCCAAGTTGACCTGCCTGCAGCCCCCAGGGCAGGAGTTCCCAGAGTGGGTAGGTGGAAGTTGGGCCCAAGTCAGGGCTCAAAACAGCTCACCTCAGCACTCTGCACTCTGCACTCTGCACTCTGCACTCTGCACTCTGCACTCTGCAATGCATGGGGGCAGGAATAGCCAAAGGATCTCAACAGAGTCTGGGTAGCTTGGTCCTCAGGGGCTGAGTCAACCTGCCTGTAGACCCCTGGGGCAGGAGTTACCGGAGTGGGCAGGCAGAAGTTGGGCCAAAGTCAGGGGCCAAAAGGAAATTCCTTTTTTTATGGTTAATTGGCAACATTACTAACAACAGTCATATGAAGAATTTTGGCTAGTTTGTTTTTTTTTAATATGTTTAAAAATATAATATTTTTAGGTAAGTTGAGCATAACATATGTATGCACATACAGATAGCAATGGAAGTTGATACTAGTGTGCTGATGGAGTTATACTGGTTATACATTTGTTTCAGTTCCTGATGTCCACTATTTGTTTTTTCTAGATCCCCAGCCCTGATGATGGTTTTGAAAGTAAATCACTTTATGAAAGCTGGCTGGCAAAAGACCCTTCACCTGAAAATAAAGATTGTCCTAGGTAAATTAATGTGTACATCTTTCCTACCCTGGGATAAATTTAGATTTCCCCATTTCCCTTGCTTCTCCATGCAATTCTCTAATAGCTAATTTACCAGAGGACCAAAGTTCAGTTCCCAGCACTCACGCCATGTGGCTCACAACCATTTATAACCAGTTCCAGGAGATCCAGTACTCTCTTCTGGATTCTGCTGGTACCTAAGTGTGTGTGTATCTGTGTAATCTTTTTATATCATGGGAGATTTTTTTATTCTCTGTCAACTATCATGGCTAGTTTTATTGGATATGTCAGTCTAGATTAGCCATTGCAGTGTTTTAGGACTTAAAATACATTGCCCCAAGCTATTCCAGCTTTAAAGATTTCCACTGAGAAATCAGCTGTTATTGTGATGGATTTTCCTTTATATGTAACTTATGGTTTTTCTCTTATAGCTTTCAATAATCTTTCTTTGTTAAGTATGTTTAGTGCTTTAACTACAATTTATCATGGGAATTTCCTTTTCGATCTTGTATATTTGGGATTCTGTGTGCTTCTGTTGTCTATATCATTATGTCTTTTCTTAGTTTGAGAAGTTTTTCTGCATCCTCGGATGAAGATCTTGTCTATGTACTTGACCTGGGATTGTTCTGCCTCATTTATTCCCGTAATTTAAAGGTTTAGCTTTTTTTTTTTTCTTCAAATAGTACTTCACATTTCTTGTATGTTCCTTTTAAAAATAATTTCATGTAAATTATCTATTTTATCTTTGAGTTCTGATTTTCTATTTTCTACTTGATTAAATCTTGTAAGGCGTTCCTTTGAGTTTTCTAGTTGGGGCTATTGGTTTTTTTCAATGCCACCTTCATTTCAGCTTGAGTCCTTTTGAATGTTTCTCTTTATTGAATTCTGTTTTCAAATTGTGGATGGTCTCCATCATTTCTATCAGCCTTACATTTGTGTTTTCTGGGGCATCAGTCAGACATTTATCCTCTGAAAGTTCACTGTGCTACTTATTTTTGTCCTCTTTAAAACTTTTGAAACTTTGATGATGTTTGTAATGTTTCTTTTAGATTGCACCCTGGCAGATATTTATCTAGAGCTGGTGGATTATTTTGTGTGTAGGGTTTACTGCCTTGCTATTGTGTAATTTTAATTGTATTTTTGTGATGAGATCTGGGAATGTGGATTTAGTTTGTGTTGGGCTATACCCTGAATAAGGATGCTGCTTATGTCAACTCGTGTGTGTGTGTGTGTGTGTGTGTGTGTGTGTGTGTGTGTGTGTGTGTGTGTGTGTGTGTGTTTGTGTGTGCATGTGTGTGTGTGTGCTCATTCATATGCTCTTCTTTTTTCATGTGGGTCCCAAGATCAAACTCAGTTTGTCAGGCTTGTTGGCAAGAGTCATTATCCTCTAAGCCATCTTGCTGGACTCCAGATTAGTCTTGCAAACTTTAAATGTGTTTTTCCATTATAAATTTTCATATGTTTATTCAGCAAAAAAAGCAGGCTCTTCCTATAATCAGCTTGAGGTGGCCTATGAAAATGGCACATTAAGTGATTCAAATATTTCTTTTCATTAAAAACATTAGGTAGTAGTTTTCTGTAGTACTGACAAACTGGGGTCATATTCAATGTTGCTTGTCACATTAATATTCCAGCAAGTGGTAGAATAGATTGAAGATTGTTTAGCTATTTTCATTCTTATAACAACTTGGTATGCAAACTCTTAGCTACTTTTGGAGGAAGATCCATTTTCTCACCTAGTTGACTTCATATTATTTATTATTTTATAAATGTATATATTTATTTATTAATATTTTATATCTAGGATCAATAAGCTCGGATCTGGAAGTGATTTTGAGGCTTATTTTCAAAGGCTTGGAATTGCTTCAGGTAGAACTCGTTACACTAAGAACAGGGTAAGCCATTTAGTAATTTTTTATATGAAGTATATTGGTTCACTCTTTGTTACTATAACAAGATACCCAGATTATTTGGATTCGTGGTTTCAAAGGTCTCAGCCTGTAATATTGTCCCAATTCTTGTGGGGTTGTGGTGAGTCAGCACATCATGGTGGGAGGATGTAGTGAGGAAAGCTGCTTACGTTAGAGCACCCAGGAAGCAAAGAGAGATTAGAAGGGCTTGTGTTGCCACTTCCTCTTCAATGGAATTTCCCAATACCTCTTTCTGGGTGCATTTGTTTTTAGTTATGAAATGGTGCATTTCATTATGACATTTTCATCTATGTATATAATGAACTTTAATGATGCTTATCTTCCCCTTGTACTTTCTGCAGACTTTCATACTTCCTCCTGTAGTTTTTGTCATTTTTCAAATAGTCCTCCATCTACTCTCATGTCTTTTGTTTTAAATTTAGATATGTAATTCTATAGAGAAAACATATTTATTATTCTCTGTATGATTTATTTTGCTTAATATGTTGAGCTCAAGATCCATCCATTTTCCTGTAACACTTCCTAAAATTGTTCTATTACCTTTAAGAGTGCCACACTGGGAATATAAGCTTGATCTTACCAGTCTTTATATACGGGGGTTTTTCCAGGTCGAAACCATAGCAATGTTTCATCAACATGAACTATAATTGAGTTGTATGGCATTAGGCAGTGGGTTGGCATGAGACCCAAGAAGAGTTCAGGGATACAGACAGACTGCATGTTCCTGCTCATTTGTAAATACACCATGAAGGAATGGGGCTCTTCTGTGAATGCATCACCACCAAGGTTTTTCATTAAAATGGTAGTTCATGTAGAAATGCTGGATGCATAGTTGGTTATACATATTAGCCAATAGCATCCTTTTCTCAAAACAGAATTGTTTTTTGAAAAAATCTAATTTTGTTCTCGATGTAGCCCAGTTGGTAGAGTGCTTGCCTAGGATGCCTTTTCCTAAAATGTCATATGGTAGTACTTCACTGTAACCCCGGTTTTGGAGTCAAACTAAGGGCAACAGAAATTCAAGGTCTTCCTTGGCCACATAGAGAGTTCAAGATCAGCCTGGGCTAGAGTCTCACTCAAATTAAATTAAAAAATAAATAAATAAATAAATAAAATTTTATTTTGTAGTCTAGTTGTGTAGAACCTGTAAGTTTTTGTCTTACAGGAAATTTTTTGTGGAGGGGCATGCTGGGCTAGGGTTGTGTGTCATCAGTTACCCTTTCACATATTCCTATTCCTGTCAATCAGAGGCAAGGTCTGTGTGTAGAAAACAGAGGAAGTTTCTCTCAATTTTTAATTTCTTCCTATTTTCTTATTTTTTATTGTCCATTCAGCTTTTGTTAGACCAATCTGGTGCCTTAGGCAGGTAAGATGAAACAAACGGAACTCATCTTTACATAATTAAATATTCTGCAACAGTTCTACTTTTGTGATCCAAATAAGTAAGTTATCTAGACAAATGTGGTATTTGTCTTGATAATATTCAGTTTCACTCACACAGTAGCAAATCAACAAGTTTCTTATTTTCTATTCTGTACCGGCTAGTTTGTATCATGTCATTAAAACATTCTGATGACTTGCAAGTACTTATACAGAGTGAATATGTGCTGTGTTATGTTGAGCATGACTTAGGTCATTTCACATACCAAATATTAGTAGACTTCAGTTCTTTGAATCTTTTAATTAATTTCAAACTCAAAGTATAATACAACAACATCTTCCTTGTACATAATGCATATAGGTTGTCAATTTGACTATACCGAAAACAGTCAATGATAAAGGACCAAAGGTAGCTCCAGAATATTGCAAATTAGATGAATGAGCATTGTATACTGTATGTCAATACTCATTTTTTAAATTACAGCTGACCATCAAACAACATGGGTTTAAATGGTATGGGTCCATTTAGATGTAATTATTTTTGAGATTTTTCTACAGTTTGAAAAAGAGTACAAAGCACATACTCTAGAAATATTAAAAAAACTTTAAGAGCTAGATATCTCCTACATAAAATATATGCAGATGAGTCTGTTTTCACCTTTTACTGCTATGAAATATATAAAAATAATACAAAAATTTAATTTTTCAGGTATGTATAAAATTATACATGGTACCATTTATAATAAAATGAAATGTAAGAAAATGTAAAGATATTACATTAAGATATAGCTATGTAAAATTGACTATAGAGCACAATAGACTACTAAAACAATTCTACAACTCTGCCCTGTGGTGTTGTGGTGTGATTCTTTTGAATATATATTTAAAATGCCATGTGACACCAAACATCTGTGCTTGAGTTCTTTACCTCTCCAGTAAGTTGCATACTGTAGAAAAAAAGTAATCTTTTATGGGTCTCACATATTTTCACCATATAGAATATACAAAGCATACAAATATATGTGTTGTTTATATTATTAGTAGTTTAGTTGATACATGTGCCTTCAATGATATGGATATTAAATTGGTTCTTCCTAACTCCTGTGTGGTTCACTCGTCAACTGCACATGAAAAGTGTGACTCAGCTCTTTATCACTATTTGCTGTTACACTCTGTCACCACTTTAAAGAAAGTTGTCTAATATTCAAGAACACGGTACAGTAGAAACACAATTGGAAGAATGGGGGTTTGATACCGGATTGCTTTTAGTGATCCAAAGTAGTAAGCACAATAGTCCTATGAGAAGATAGCACATGGTAAACATAAAAGACCAAAGATCTCAAACTCCTTCTACATGGTAGTAACCTGTGGCACATGTTCATTAAAGATACTGACAGAATATTATCGAAGGTTCATAGCCCTTGGCTGAACACTTCTTGGTTAGAGAAAGAATGCATTACCATTCAGGTCTGTAGCCACTAAGCTACCTAGAACTTTTCATACACTTGATCAGTTCATAATTTTGAATTGTGCTGATTTGAATATGTATTTCTTTAGTTATCAGAATCAAAAGATTGAATGGAGGTTACAAGAATCATAAAATGAAGACAGCAATATAAAAATTTAAATCAGTGAGCATTTTGGCTGTAGTGTTTTAATTATATTTTAAATTTATTTGCTTACTTGATGAAATCAGGGCTGTCATGTATTTTTCCTTAATCATCTCTATGATTAAAATATTATAAATTGAACATGTAATGCTTATTTTCAACTCCTTCTCCATTTTAGAAAACAGATAAATACAGTAGCTATCCTGTATACCATACCATCTATGAGACATTTGAATTAGTAGAGAACTTTTATGACCCCACATTTAAAAAACAGCTTTCTGTGGCTCAGTTACGAGGAGCATTGGTGTATGAGCTTGCAGACTCTGTTATCATTCCTTTCAACATTCAAGACTATGCAAAAGCCTTGAAAACCTATGCAGCAAGTATCTTCAATTTATCTAAGAAACATGAACAGCAACTGAGAAGCCATGGAGTGTCATTTGGTAAGATATTTTATAGACTTTAATGTAAACTTTCTTATCTCTTGGTCAGTGCATTCTAGAAGAAATCACCACTCATTTACTAATTCTTCCTAATAATGACTTTAAATAAATACTGACTAAGGGGTCTTATTTAATCTGAAATTTCTATGATCAATCCATTACTTATGAAATAGTACTACCAACATTAAACTGGGTAAATATTTTCCCATGTTAAAACTGTTACTAATATTCTCCAAATATTAAAAATTATAGTCACAAATTCTAACACTATTATTGCTGAATATATTCATCAGTATTTGTGTACATGAAGGATATTTTGCATAGATATAGACAGTATCTGTGACCTTTAGAACACATCTTAACTTTTGTATTGGCAATTTCTTAAGCCATGATCCAATAAACCACACTTCCCTATTGGGGAGATTATTAGGGAATATGTAGATCAGTAGTGATTGGCACTTGGTGCTCAGTGAATGTTGTCTGCTGTCACTAATTGTAAATATTTTCATTCCTAACTTCCAGATATATATTCTTCCTATATACCAAAGTAATCAAATTTGTATTGAATGTCTACTGTGTACCAAATAAATTATTAATATTAAAGTGATATTCATTAATGTTTTCTATCAAAGATCTAGAATCTTAATGTGAGAAAGAGGAAGGCAAATACAGATGACAAGTTATTAGAGGGGCAAAAAGAATAACTAAGAACATAGAAAATAGGGAAGGAGTTGGTCATTGGTGACATTTGAATGTTATTTTATTACATAAGGATTAATAATCTTTATGAAGTTATGAAGAATAGCAGGTATATTATTTATTTTAAATTAAAAATTGCATCTGTAATTGTTTGTGAGGGGAGATGTTCTGTGCTTCCATGTAAATGTGGAGGTCAGAATATAATTTGTGAGAGTTGTTTCTCTCGTTTTACTATGTGGCTCTCAGGCATTGAATGAAGCATGGCATCAAGTGCCTTTGCCCACTGACCCATCTTGCTAGCCCACATGTAGGTGTTTCAATCTGGACATAAAATGAAATAAAGAAGAGCCAGGTAGGTGTGCTGGTCTATACCCATAACCCCAGCATTTAGAAGGTTGAAGCATGAGGAGCACAAGTGTTAGGCCGGCATAGGCTGCATAGCAAGATCACCTGAAAAAATAAAACAACAAATAAAAGAAAGTATCTCTGCATGATGAGGGCAATCAAGAGATGAAACTAGAGAAGAAGATGAGGCCCCACTCAAGACAGATGCTAACAGTTGTGCAGCTATGCAGCCCAAGGGGCGTTTTAAAACATCTTGAATGACTTTTGGTGAAATGCCTCTTCTACATTTGTATAGGTTGAGATCTAGTCAGGAGAGAAGTTACATAAGCTTAGTGGCAGGGCCTTCTTTAAGCAAGTTAATTTCTCCCTCTGCCTACATGCTCATGGACCAGTCTTCTCTGTAAATGCCATTTTCTTCTGTTTTTAACATCTGTGTCTCTATTGGTGAATGTCCATCAGATGGCATATCCTCATCTCTCTTCCATCTTAACAGTAGCATTTGTCTCTGCTGTGCTCCACCTTCTTCACTTGAAATTTCCTGTTATTGCCATGAAGCAATTCAGAGGATGTGTTAATGAAGAATGTGGGTGTGATGAGCGATTGGATGAATGAATGAATCAGCTAGTGATATGATTCATCATCTGTACTCCCAGTTCTTTATTTTCCACTAAACAATTGACTGTGCTCCTGTATCACTACTACTGACTAGAAATGTTCTTTCTGATGTTATCACTGACCAGTGTCACTGAATCCTAGTGACATATTACAGTTTTCATCTTGATTTCTGTATTATACTTGAAATTTAAATTTCCTTCTTCAACATACTCTTCCCTTTGCTTCCATCATACTTGTTATTAGATTACTTGCTTTGAACATGTTTTTGAACATGGAAAAGTTGAGGTCTAAAAGGACTTTTTTGAAAATACTAAATGTATTTATATTGAAGGTCCCACCTCCTTGACAGCTGATGCAGTACAGTCATGTGATCTGAGCTACAGGCATTTGATCTGCAAAACAGACACAAATGAAAGCAGTAAATCAAACATGTATGTCGAGTCCTGCTTAGAACACACAAAACATGGGAAATAGGTTGTTGTAACAAAAAATATGTGCTGAGAATTTAGTTATATTTTTAAAAACATGAAATAAAGTCCAACCAAACCAAATCTGATACTGATAATATATCTCAGTCTAGATACATTAATTTGTCACAAGTCACCTTTGAAAAAGTTGTTAATATGCCATTATTTGAAAACAAGAATAGTATTATTTTAATCCTGTAATAACTACAAAGATAATACCATATTTATACATATATCCAGTATCTAATATATCATAATTGTTTAATAAATATATTCAATAAATGAATGCTGGGGTTTGGGTACACAATTGATTGAGGGATTATTATTCCTGTACTTATGGAGATAATCCTCTTAAGAACCAATTTACGGGAGTGCTGAAGAGATGATTCAGTGGTTAAAAGCACTTTCTGGTCTGTCATGAGGACAGGAGTTCAGATCTCAAGACTCATGTCATATGGGATATAAATCTCTGTAATGTGTGGGTATTAAATACCTGTAATTACAGTTCCAAGAGATCTTACCCCCTCTTTTGACCTCCATGGATACCAGGACACATGTGCACACACACACACACACACACACACACACACACACACACACACACACACACGGACACACGGACACACACAGACGCTTAGAAAACACAATTTGACTACATTTCAAATTCCCATCTTTTTTCCCCAATACTTTTCATGAATCCACAAGAAGGGTCCCTAGAATAATGGTTTTCCTACTTGTTTGGTCCTATTAGGGAGAGTACAGTATTGTGAACCTCTGAAATGTGAACCACTAACTAAATTATTTTATTCTTCCATTTTTTAAAAAAGATTCCTTATTTTCTGCTGTGACAAACTTTTCAAAGGCTGCTTCAGACTTTCATAGAAGACTCACACAAGTTGATCTTACCAAGTAAGTTTCAGGTGCCTACTCTCAGAAGGGTGGACGGTCGTCCCCTGCCCATGTGTAGAATGCCAAGTCATTGGTCTTAAGCCGTGGTCTGCACGACAGCAGCATCAACAATTGCAAGCTTCTTAGAAAGCAGAAGCTTGTGGCCTTGAAAAATAAAGCAAACCACTTCTCAGTAGCATTCTATGTCTATTATAAATGCTAGTAAGATGACTCTACAGTTGTATGCTGCTTGCTGTTTAACGTATTACTGTGTTAACAGTATTTCTGTTAATGGTCTATTGAATATTTTATTTATCTTTCCATGTATTATCTGTATTACTACTAGTTTAATTGTGTGTCTACTAGGAGGGATTTTAATGATGTGTTTCTTATTCTTCAAGTCCTATTGCAGTGAGAATTATGAATGACCAACTGATGCTTTTGGAAAGAGCATTCATAGATCCCCTCGGTTTACCTGGGAGGCAGTTCTACAGGTAAGGAGAGATGGGTGCTCCATAGAGGGCACCAAACACTTCACTAGACTTGAAGAAGTATATCAAAGATTATTTAAACTAATGCCATCACAGGAGTGGAAGATGACAACATCCTAATATATTAAATGTAATATAAATGCTAAATGTAACATGAATAAGATTATGTACCCAGTAATTGTATAATGTGTAGTATCAGAAGAACACATTTCATATCAATTAGTTCTTTATGGTGTGCCAAACAATTCCAGCCATAGAGTTCATAAAGGATCTTAGAACAAATGCAGTCAAAGTCTAATGAGTCCTTCCTGCATGCTCTCAGGTAAGTATTCAGTCTGTTTCAGACTCAGTGATGGAGAGATAACTGCTCCATGAAGAAAGCATTCTATTTTATTTAAAGTTTCCTTCATAATGATCTCAAATCTTTTATCCTGTAATGTTCTCATCTGACCTGATGTTTCTTTCCAAGTAAAGTAAGGGTAGCTTACTACATTTATTAAATTTAGTGTCATACATACAATAAATTGTTAAGATAGCTGCCATGTCCCTTGAAATATTGCTTTGTTTCAGGTTATTTTTTGTTTAGTATCTATGTCATATTTTCTTTTAGTATCTTAGAGCTATCAGACCCCAAAGTCCATTTTCTCAAGGTCCTTTAAAAAAGGCCTCCTTCTGGATGGCTTAGTGATTAAGGGCACTTAATTAATCACTTGTTGCTCTTGAAGAAAGTTCAGGTTTGATTCTCAGCACCTGCATGGTGGCTCCAACCATCTGTATCTCCAGGAGATCTGTCAATCTCTTCTGAACTCTGAGGACGGCAGGCATGAGTGTGGCACACATACACACACCTAGGCAAAGCATTTATGCACATGACAATGTAAATAAATTTAAAAACTATTTTAAATGGTTCCTTGATGGAAATTAAGATGGTCCCAGCATTAAAAGTCAGACAAATCTTCATTCATGTTCATGCAGATGTAGGACTGAGTACATTTCAGTTCTCTGTGATGTTAGCATGTCACTAGGATTTGCCTGTCTAAAATTAGCATAATAAATGCTACTTTACAAAGCTATCGCATTTCTAAATGTTAGTGATTAGGACTAACATTCAAGTGACACGAACAGAGCTTTTAGAGCACAGATCTTCCACTGGGAATTTATTTCTCTAAACCTTGGCTTTCTCAGTTACAAATAGAGATTTTAGCTGTTTACCACTGAGGCATGTAGGTTTAAGGCATCTGAAGATTAAGCTCAAAGAGGAAGGCACTCTGGAATGTGAGCTATATTTATGAATGTTTGTTTATTCATAGAAACAAATTGGAGATATCAGTTATGAATATATATGTGTGCATATAACAAGGAAGAAATATCCACAATTTTAGCCTTTTCTTGAAAGTTATTAGCCTATTGATCCTTTAGAACTACTTTGTATAATGAAAACATTTGTACTTTTTAAAGTGTTCAGACTCCGAAGCATGTAGTCTAGAGACAGTTCTATTTCATTAGTTCCCTCCTCAATTGCACGTCTAGTTCTGCTAATCTCAGGTAAACTCACCATTGTGTGAAGTGTTAACACACTTAAGTAACGAGTATGTATGTATGTATGTATGTATGTATATATATATATATATGTCTACTTTATATGCATGTTTACATGTATACACACATTTATGGGGAAGTCTGCTTACAATATTAATGTACTGTATTTGTATGTAAATATGTATATTTATATATACATATACATGGGTCTTTAGATACAGAAGCATTTATATTTATATAAATAGAGCCATATGTTATTTTGCAACTTTTTTTCAAGAATCCATCTCTTGATGTCAGCATAGAAAGTTTTAGCACTTTAATCCCCTATATAATATATTGTTTGGCTTTTGTTTATAGTTTTAATGACTTATTATTGAGACTTGTTAGATGAGCTTCTCTCATCCATTATGAAATACACTTTCTTAAGATGTCCTTGTGCTATATTTGAACATTTATAAATTGTAACATCTGTATAATCAGGCCCTGGGATTTAGAGCAAAAAAAGATAACACATTTTAAAACTTGATGAGAATATAGCAAAATGTCCTCCAAACCCACTATCTTTAAAAAATACATTTGAACTATTAATTGAATATTTAGACATTTGAACACTAAAGTAGTTCATATTGCTGTTTCAGTTTGCTGCAGTGTTCTAGAATAATGCAACTGTATTATTGTAGCAATTTTATAGAATGGCTGTATATTTCAGGCTTATACTTTGCCTAACAACTTCTTAGATAAAATGTAGCCATGACATCTGCAATTTTTCATTTGTTTTAAAAATAGGTAATTTTTTTGTTTAGGCATATCATCTTTGCTCCAAGTAGCCACAACAAATATGCTGGAGAATCTTTCCCTGGGATTTATGATGCCATGTTTGATATTGAAAATAGAGCAGACCCTCACTTGGCCTGGGCAGAAGTGAAGAAACATATTTCTATTGCAGCTTTCATGATTCAAGCAGCAGCAGGGACACTGAGAGATGTGTTATGAAGTTTCTGTCAAGTAGTTTCATCACTAACAGTACAGCAGAGTGTTTGAGCATGAAACTGTTGGAGGGAGGTCTCGCTCAAGTAGACTCACTGCTGAAGGTACTGGTGAGAGTCTGAAGACAAGATATGTCTTTTTCTCTGATGACTCACAAAGCCAGGATATTCTAAAACCATGATTTCATGTCCTGTTTTGTACTTTCACCTTATTTATCTGTAGCTTTTTTTTTTTTTAACTCTTGCTTGCATATTCAGTGAAAGTGAAACTGGCAACCCAAATGTTCATGGGCAGATAATTGAATTCATTGTGATACATACACAGTGGGATACTGCTGAAAACAAAAGAACTACTAAACATCCAACATTATTGGCAGATCCTGCTGAGTAAAAAGTTGGGCATCAATGAGTCCATAAAGTCAAACTAATATACAGTACTATCTATCTTTTTAAGGGAAAGGCCTCTGGGATAAATGGCATTTTCCATACCTCCAGCTTAATGTTCATTACAAAGCTGTGTTCATTTACCAAATCTCATGAAGGTGTTGCTTAAATGTCTATATTTTGTTGAAAATTATGCTGAAATAAATTTGATTATGAGGGGGAAATCCTACAAAAAATAGAAGTCAAGTAAAGAAACAGAAATGGTGCATCATCCCTTGTCAGTGATCAAGGAAAACATAAAGTACCAATGGCACTTTGATAGCTTCAGTTCTGCTGAATAAACATGTAAGTCTAACAAATGAGGAAACAGTCACCCCAACTCTCCACTCTATAATTTCTTTAATAAAGTTCAACAGCATTACAAGGTTTTAGGCAGAACCTTGGGAATGCAGGTGAACACCACTGAAATTTCATTCAGTGAAAAAGGATGTAAACTTGGCTCATTTGTTCATGAACCAGGTTTTTCCCTCAGTACTACACACACACATGCATGAATATGTGCATATATACAGGCACACATACACTTACACGTCAAGTAAGCTTGGTTGTTTAACTACTTCACCAAATTGAAAATGAAAAATTAGAACAATTCCCTCCCTTAGCCTCAGGGAGCATCAAGGGAGAGTATGTGGCTAGAATACACAAGCTGGAAGATGGGAAGGAGTACTATGAAATGATCCCCCTGGACATTACTGTTGCACACGTGAATGCACAGTTGTGGGTTATCTACACAAGAACAAGCACAGGAGTTCAGAACTCATAGGGGAGGGACTCATGAGGTCCCATTCTGTAAAGGAAGAACTATCGGTAGTTAATGGCTAGGAGAGGGAAGCCAGCTTTTCAGATTGTAGCCACTGGTAAGTTGCCCATGCTCTAGTAAAAAGAGCCACAACCACTTGAATGCAAGAAAACCTAATTAAATTCAGTATATTTTAAAAAACTGACATGAAAGTAGTTGAAGGGGTTGGGAAGATAGGTTCTGGAGCGAATGGGAGTGATAAGGGAATTGGTGGGGAATTTTTTCGATTTTATGTACACGTACAGAAATTGAAAGCAAAACAAGAGCACAAGTTTCTTCGAATCTCTGCACAATGTAATTTCAGAAGCCACCAAAATATAATGTGGCTATTTGTTTAGATACTTAAGCACTACTTAGCCCCGTGGAAGCCTCACCCATCCTTGGGTGTGTCCCAAACTTCCAGTATGTCTAGAATTTGTAGTTCAAGAGGGACACTGAAGCAGAGTGTCTTTTTGTGTAAGAGATTTATTAGCAAAATTATCAATGCCTCATAAAAGACACGAGGTTGGGGATTCTGACAAGGGTTCAGGCCTACAAGACAAAGAAGGGCTCTTCCGTGCCTTGTAGTTGATAAAGACAATTTCCTAGTCTGGTTATGTGGGCAGCTTGGGAAACTCTCTACGTATGAAGATTATAGATTTCTGTCAGCTCCTTGTAGCAGTGAAGTAGTCAGTCAGCTCTTCAGAGCACAGACACCTGCAATGGGCGTGACTTCAGCAGCCTCTGGTGTGAGGGCTTACACCTATTAACACTTAGGCTTAAATCTGTGTTAAGATCTTACCTTAATAGATCCCAGTTCGGCCTCACAATGCTTCTCAAATCCTTGTGTTTGGGTGTTGTCTAAAATCAGACTGAAGCAGGAGGCAGTGAAGAACTGTTCCCAGCCCTATTCCTGTGGCATATTTTTCCCCACTTCCAAGTGAATGAAATATATTTCTAAACTCAAAGCCATAGTACATAATTTCTAAATCACTTCTAAAGGTGATAAAGGGCAATTTTTAAAAAATTTCTGAGTAGTACTTGTGTTAGTAGCTTTCTTGACAAACACGGCTGCCAAACAGCATCTGTGATTAGCAATGTGACATTGGGGTAAGTAGAAAAATTTCCAACTTATTATTCCTAATTGGTTATTTTGTTATTTTTAGTAAACTGCTTTAATAAGGGGTTATGTTGCATGCACTGTGATCAGTACATGATTTTGGAGCATATATGAAACTGTTAGTAAGGTAGTTTAAATTAAGCTCTTGGCTTGAAGGTCAACCCAAGGAGGACCCCTCCAAAATAATCAGTTTCGGGCAAATGAGAAATAGTAACGGGTAAAGGAGAGATATCACGATGGCTTCTTGAGGTTTAAATACCATATGAAAATGAGGAAAGTGACAGTAGGAGTTTGTTGTGAAGCACAAGAGAAGGATAAGGATAAGGGATCCTGAGAACCCATGGCTATTTTTCTAAATTTACATTTTATTTATGTGTATAGGTGTTTTGCCTGCATGTAGGTGTGTGCACCACATGTGTGCTTACTGCCCACTGAGATCAGAGGAGGGCACTGGAGTCCCTGGAACTGGAGTTAGACAGCTGTGTGACTATATGAAGTTGGGGATCAAATGATCGAATTCTGGTCTCTGGAAGAGCAGTGAGCTCTTACTGTCTGAGACAACTCTCCCAAGATCCCATGCAAGCATGGTTACTTTCAGAGATTTATTTTTTTATTCTTTAATTGTTTTTACTCAAGTCTTACAATCCCCCATGCTAGCTGAGAAGCTACTGGCAATTGATGACTGCTGAAGGGATGTGAGGCATGAGGACAGTTTTAAGAATGCAACCACTGAGAGGCTACACCTGCTCTAGTAGATAAGAGGCCCTACCCCCATACATTCAGTACACAGTGACAGCACTAAGTGAACATAGTGGGTTTAAAAGGGAAACAAAAACAAACAAACCCCCAAACTTGAAATTTAGAAAGAACAGTGGTAGAGAGATTGAGGGGCAGGTTCAGGTGTGAGTGTGTGTACTTGTTCGAAAAACACATACACATGCATGGAATTCTCAAAGAAAGGACCTGAGTCTTATTTCTGGCTCTGGCTTTTTGGTAAAGAACAGACTGTCCTTCCTTTAACAGTTAATCCAAATGGGCCTCTCACTCCTCAGATAGGTAAAAAGAAAAACCCTTGGGAAACCCGTTGGGGCAGACAATTTATTAACTAGCATAAAACTGTTGAGAACAGGCTTTGGTCTGATGTTATAAAATGTTGCTCCCCTGTGATGGGATATTTTTTGCTAACTTCCCACAAGAACCTATTTTACATGACTGAAATACGAGTGATGTTGCCTGATAACACTACTATTCCATTTAAGTGCCCTGCTCTCTTGCCTACTGCAGTGACAGTGTAGAAACAGACTTCTAGTCATCCACATCTAACAGATGCAGAAAAACATCGCAGTCTAGTCAGTCACAGCCACAGTTATTCACACACAAAGCTTTTAGACCTTCAGGACAAACTAGTGAACAAGGACCTTTGTACATCCATCTGGATCCATGTGAACTGCCCTAAGGCACTCATTGAGAAAGTATAGTAGCTGACTACTACTTAGTGTCTTCACTTGAAGCTACTGTAAACACCTTGACAAAACCACTCAGAGGTAAGAGGCTCATTCTGGCTCACTGTTCGGGGTCCAATTCTATCATTATGGTCAAGTACAGTGACGGGCTCAAGAGAGCTGGTCACTTTATCTCAAAAGCAAAGAACAAGTAATGCATGTCTACAGGTACTCAGCTCACTCTACAGCCCAGGATCCCAGGCAGGGTCTTCCCACCTCAACTAATGTAATTAAGATTTCCTTAAACATCTGCCCACAGGGTTAACAGACTAGACAATCCCTCATTAAGACCCTCCTTCCTAGGAGAGTCCAGGCCAGGCCAACTGACAAAAGTGCTGCCATCAACACTGCAACAACTCAGAGCATACTCACATTTAATAATTCAGCTATCTGATATAAAAGCACAAACAAACGAACATAATCATTTCAAATTTGAATATTATCTTCAGGTCATGGTTCAGTTTAAGAACTTCGGTGGCAATGGACCACATGTTAAAATTAAGTTGCTCTATATCTGCTCTCTGACTATAGGCAAATTATACAAATTTTGCCAATGAATATGGATGACAGCACAGTCTAATCATGTGGATGTTCTCAAAAATAAAGTTAACATAAATTACTTATAAAACTTTGACACACAATAACTGAATAACCACTTAGTTTATGCAAGCTTCATATTAATCCCCAAATTTCTAAACCTAAATCACAATCAGCATTTCTAAAATGTCTTATAGATGGCTACTTTAATTATCTACCTGAAAACTGAGATCTGAATCCCACTAATTACTTTTCAGCCTTGACTTTCTCTCATCTCACTGCTTTAGAAAGACTTCCTTCCTTCAAGCCTGGGCAACTCCATTTAATTTGTGATTCAGCAATCTCTCCGAGAATCAGTTACTTCTAAAACCTGTTACCTCTCTTCTTTGGACTCTTCCTAACTCAAACCTAGGAGCTATTCAAAACTTTTACTCTATAATCCCCAATTCAGGATCACAGTTTCTGAATCTCTTTCCTGACGTTTAGGCCTTCCTCCTGTCTCTTTCTCCCGCCTCCTAATGCCTTGTTGTGTTGTTCATGTGGAAAAAAGTGGATAGAAAAGAAAATCAACTTTGAGCTCACAGGCATCTCACAACACTAGGTGTTATTTCAAAATGGCCAAAACAGAACTTAAAGTCCCACTACATAAAGGTGACTGAGTAGTGGCTGAGGAGATGGGAATGCTTATTACCTTGATGTGGTTAATACATATTATATACATGAGCCATCATAATGTCCCCCATAAAACAAAATTTAAAAAAAAATTAGTATGCCTGGAAATTACTTTGCAGTCTTAGGTCCCATTTCAATGTTCTAACTTAATTGTTTAGAGTTGTGGACCAAGAACTTGCATTTCTAACACATTTTCATTGATGAGTGATCAAGCCAATTTAGACCAGAGAACAAAAATCTAATGATCCTTAGCTGTTTGGTTCTAACCCCTTATACCTACACCAGGAATACTCCAAGTTTGTTACTGTTTTTAACAGATCCTTACATTAACAGGGAAAACAAAGGCACGTTTGCTGGTGTTCTATCGTACACGGCTATAACGTATTTAAATATTACCTACATGGCAATGGAAACCATTATGATTTGTTGCACTGAGAATTTTGAGATATTCTTCAAATCACAAAAAATGAATTTTTAATAGACTATCAATCAAAACCATCTAGGCAAAATGACCTACTTTATGAAATTATTTTCTAACAAAACATTTGCTACCAGTCACCAATTTCCCTCTCAATGTGCCAATATTTTAGAAAAGCTATTCATCAGTTGCTAAGCCACACAGAATATGTTTGGACACAGACACAGGAACAAATTCCCAACGTCTGAGTCTGCCATCTTTACTGCACAGCTTACTGGTTTCAACTCTGGAAGAGTTTAACCAGTGACATGATCTTTTTCCTTGCCTGTAGTACCTCACAGAGTAGTCATGAGCAGTTAAGTTCATATGCATTGATGTTCTTAAAACAATGCTAGGCCATTACTGGTGTATGCTTGTCCTACTCAAATTTGCCAAATAGTGCAGTAGAAAATAAGCTTCCCTGAGTTGTCCAAAACAGAAACAGCCAAAGTAACATGCAGGCAGCAAAGACCAACAAAAAATATACATAAAACAGGAATAGACTCATCCAAAGTATTTGTTGTAAATGAAGCATTTCAAGCTTTGGGAGGTTTTCCTTTTTCAATTTTAAATAGCATACCTGCTTAGTGTAAAAGGAGTAGTAAATCAAGCTATTTTGATACAAAATCTTTAATGATATAAAAATGTCTAAAGACCATTAATGAAAGTCTTTGATACCTATTCTTGAAAAATTTCCTTACATCTAAGAACTCCAAGAAAACTCAAAAATAAAGCACTAAATAAACATGGAGAAACCTGGTGAGCTAGGTATTTTAGGGACAATGCACATGCCCAAGGGCACAGACATCTATCATTAAGTAAGAGGCCCATGCAAGTGAGATAAATTGCAATTGTAAGAACAGGAGACAAGCAATCAGGGAAAAACATGACCTTCTATGATCAGACAAAAGAAACCAATCACACTTACCAATAAAACTCAATAAAAACCAAGTTTGACTCAATAGCTCATACTTCACAATAAGGCCATGGAGCAATACTGGATAAACTACTATAGGTTAAAGTCAAGTAAGATCAACTGCAAAAAAGCAGCAGCATAAAACAATCCTTACTTTTCAAACTAAAAAAGTAGAGTTGAGAAAAACAAAACAAAACAAAACAAAAAAAACAAGGTTAAAAATACACTCAAGTGTCTTTAAGTGGACACTAGGTCCTTTAATGAGTTTTTAAAGTTACTGTAGATGTATGCAACATCCACTTTTCAGAGTAATATTCTCTCTCTCTCTCTCTCTCTCTCTCTTTTCATTCACTGTGTTTGTGGATGCTCACTGCTGATGTCACAAGAGGGCATTAGGTCCTCTGGAGTTGAAATTACAGGTAGTTGTTAGCTGCCCAAAGTGGGTGTTGGTGAGTAAACTAAGCTTCCCCAGAGGGGCAGCAAGTGCTCTTAACCACTGCACCATTATTTCTCCAGCCCCCAGAGCAAGCATTTTAAGATGGTTAGAAGCAGTAATTCACAGGACTCAAAATATCTGCAAGAATGTTTTAATGGTTCTCTTCATTCTGATCAACTGATAAAGAGAAAAACAAGTTCTAAGTATAGTAAAGGCAAAGATCCCTAGCATAATAGACACATGACAAAGCTCAATCAGTGCACTGACTATACAGTCCTCTAAATGTACACAGTCAACCTATAAACATCTGATTTCAATTCATGTTTTAATTGTTTACATTAATGGCTTAAGTTATATGATATATTTCAAGAACTGCCCTTTAAGGGTTCAACTAAAAAAGGTTAAAATTAAACATTCTACTTTAAACTTTACCAAGGTTAATGTCTTAGTTTTATAAACTGTCTCCCATGTGAAATTTTAACACTAGGAGATGATATGCTAATTATAAAGATCTCTGTACTAGTTTTGTAATTCTGCCAACCTAAAGTTATTTCAAAATAAGAGGTTAGAAAAGACAGATCAACTTAGGATATTAACTCCTTTGTGCAAGCAAAAGATAGGCAAGAAAAATAGCATTTGAGTTTCCCATGCTAAAATGAGTTACCTGTATAAAATATATCTAGGTTTGGCTGCTTTGATGCCATAATAAAAGAAAGGCATGTATCTAATAGAAGTAACTTCTTAGAGATAACAAGGATTTCATTAGCTTTTCTTAATAAATCGACAGAGTAAAAGATTCTTCCTTAAAAATACTCTGTTGCACTTTAAGATAAATTTCACTTCATTTTTATCTAAGTGACAGACAGAGGTTCTGAAAGAAAACAGCAATTAAATAGTCACAGATGTAACCACTGCACAACTGTATGAAAAAATAAAAATAGTGCTGTGCAACCAAGTCTGAGGTTAGAAAACTTCACTTGCTTCAACTGTACCATCCCAACAGACTACTACTATTCAAGGGCAAACAGCCTCAATAAGGAAGTGACACAGGTATAACTAATATTTTGAATCAAATATTTTCAACTTTCCTCGTGTAGAAAACAGGATCTCTTTTCTACAAGAATTCATGTTTAATTAGAAACTTAGACTATTTGGATCCCAGTTCTTTTTTTTTATTTCCAAAAAAGTTTTAGCATGTTCTTGCCTCATTAAAGCTTGAAGGCTAGATTTGTGTTTTTACATCTGTTGACAGATGAGACAGTATCTCTAATAGTTATTTGCTAATAGCAGAATGACAAATACAGGTTGTTCGCTGTATCTAAGGTGCATACTTGCCTGGTGCTTATGGAGTCCAGAAAAGGGAACTCTAAGTGAAATGGAGTTCCTTTAGTATAAGCTGTCATATGGGTGCAAGGAATCAAACTCAACAGTTAGTGCTCTTAAAGGAACTGTCTCTCCAGCCACCGTCCAGATTCTTTATTACCTAATATTCCGACACTACTCCAAATTTCTTTGTAAGAATTCCATTAATACTAAAGAGTTTGGGAAGCAAACACCTTTAACTTGACCTACACATATTTAAGGCACCAATTCACTAAGTTCTGCTGGAGTTCTAACCTTCATATACAACAAGTTTCTCCTTGAGCTGTGCCTCAAAAAGCAACCTATGCATTAATGGTTGTAACTGGCATAAACAAGAAATTCTGTGTCATATACAATTAATGCAAATGAAATATAATACATAACCAATATTAGTAAACTTGTCAAATCTACATTAACATATAACACAGCTGTCCTACCTTTTCTGCAGTGTATACTTCTTTGTCGTCGCCATGACCAAAGCACATGAAACAACTCAAGGGAGGAAAAGTTTATTTTGGCTCACAGTTTCAGAGGATACAGTTTATAATGGCTGTGACGGCAGCACTGAGAGCACGGGACAGAGGTGGTTCACATGCCCTGACTGGAGGCAAGCCGGCAAGGGTGTAGAATCCTTAAAGGCTCACCTCCAGAGAGCCCAACCAGGCCCAACATCCTAAAGGTTGTTCTACAGCCTTCAAAATAGAGCCATAAGTTGGGGGATCAACAGCTCAAAAAAGCCTGCAGGGGCATTCCACATTCAAGCCTCACACATATATATCTTAATATATTTCAACAAAGCTACACGGTCACAATTTTACAGATAGTTTTCATCTGGGATAGATATCATCCCTAAGAGGATTTAGACTATAAATTAGACAAAATTTAGTTAACACACCACAAAACACCTTTAAATAATTAAAAAAGAGACTTTTTAAAAAACATTATTGCTTACTCTTATGAAATGATGAGTTTTAACCAAATTGATACTTCTTAGATATATTTTCTATAGTCTTAAATTATACTGCTTGACAAATACTATAGGCATTAATGTAACCTTCTGACATTAAATTGATTGCAAATGAATCTGTTAGCAGTACCCACAGATGGTGACTACACTGCTTCAAGGTTAGTACTACAGGAAGTAACCACCTCATAGGGGAAACAAATAAATTTTTTCCTTAAAGATATTCAAGAATTACAGTAACAAAAGTTCATGGAAAGGCCAATTAAATTTTTTATATTACACCTTGCTTTACCATTTAAGGGTAACAGCGATATCAGGACAAAAAAAAAAACACCCTTTTATTTCTCTGCTTATAATAATTTATACTAAGATATACTAGAAATATGCTCATGAGTTCTTTTCCTCCCTTCATGTTGGGTAACAACTATGTTTCTGCTAGTGAGGACACTTGAATAATCATCTTACAGAACTCAAAAGGAAGATAAGAGGCACAAACAAACAAACGAACAGACTTTGGCTTTGAAGAACCTCATGATAACCCTAAAATGGAAGATTAAGAACAACAAAAAGATTACAGCAGCAAGCTACTACTTCACCCACACATAAGAATTAAGAATTCTAAAACAAACAAGAGATTTCTGTTTCTCTTCTCATCAATCTGCAATATCTTCTTTTTGTTTCTCCTGCTTTTTGGCTGTGGGCAGTTCAAGACTTGCCCACTGCATGGGCTCTGCCTTTCTCATAGTGATCTCAATCTTTGTTGCAGTCATGGTTACATAACTCCGTTTAACATCAATCACCTACAACATAGCAAGAGGAAAAGTTAATCTGGTGCTTTTATTGGTCTCAGAAAAACACATTTTGCTTTTTCTAATGTGAAAATCAAGCCTCTGAGGCCTTTTTTATGCCATATAAGTATCTTAATAGATATACATGTTAGGGTTATATTCATGAACTTCCATGAATATTCATTCTTAAAATGTTTTCAATCATCAGAAAAAGATAGGTGGATTTGTAATAAATACTTACACCCCATAGTTTCACATTTTGATGAAATTCCTTCTCTCCTTCAAATACAATGTGAACATTTAACTGAAATAGATAAATTGCTATTATTTTGGTGTTAGATATTGTAAACAAGGCCTTACTTAATATACACTAAGCATGTAGTGAGTGAAACACTGAACCACATCCAGTTAAGAGCGATAACTGATCAAATTCATACTCAAGGTTTGTGAAACCAAGTACCAATTATAAAGGTAAGACTGACATTACTTAAGCCATGAGAGAATGTCAATAGAGACAACCCCCCCCTTACTTTAAGAAAATGATTAAGAGAATAGGAAATTAACTGGAAAGTTCATAATGAGAAACAAATATATATTTTGTGAACCTTTTAAGATACTGTATTTTTAGAAAACTTCAGAACTCTACCACACTGTGATTTTCATTTAAAATACCGTTTCTATCAAAGTCATTAGTAACTTTCTACTCAGAACTAAGAACTTTGAGAAAGTATTAACAAATAATGTATTTAATATAATTTTCATTCAGTCAATTAATATACTCACCAGTGTACTATTTGCTTCTACTTGGCTGAGCTCTGGCAGTGAATTTTTAGCATACACTGAGATGGTAACTTCACCCCCAGTTTGATGCCAGTCATGTCTACATGGAACAACTTTTTTCCCCTATAATATAACAAAAACTTTGTAATCTTAAAAACCACCACACTTCAACACATCATCATCAACTTTTTCAAAAGAACTCACTCGGCTAATAGAGAAAAATTTACCATGTACAACTAAGCACTTGTTGTCTCAGGGCAACAACATCTGCAGATACCACCAACACTAAGAGGTTTAAGCAAAAAACTATGATACAAGATATCTCAACAGTTTACTATGTGAGAACACCCTCATTTCTCCAATTTGGTTTTTCTCCTTTAGGGCTAAACTGTTACTGTCCACTTAGGAGATAATTTCACAAGCCTTATTAAACTTTTTTCCATTCATATCCTATAGTACACTAAGTACTGTCATCATCATTCTTTGAAGACAGAAATAAGAAAGGAATTTATTTGGTAAGATAAACAAGACAACACAAGTACTTGAAAGCATGAGAACCTTAAGTTTATTTGTATAAATTAGAGTTTATTTGGATGGTGTTAGGACAGGAACATAGCTCAGTTGGTACTATGCCTGCTTTCTAAGCATAAGGACCTGAGTTTGGAACATCAGCATCCACACAAAAAAGTTCATACATGGTAGTATGATTCTGTAATCCTAGTGCTAAAAAGCTCAGAGAGCCCATATTTCATAAAATAAGGGAGTGACAGAGGAAGACACCAAACATGGAACCATCATACAATGTACACACACTGTCAACCAATAACTATTTCTATGATTATTAAATTATTTTGTCCTTTCACATTAGTATGCAGAAAATGCCACAATTGACAGAAACCATCTTTTGATTGCTGCTATGGAAATGACCATTATTTTCCGGTGGTATACTATGGTATCAGCCAATTTTCCAAAACACAAACAAATTGTGAGTTTTCGAAATAAGAGTAATTTAGCCAGAAAGTTCAGGAAACTCTGAAACACTTGTATTTAAAAGAAGGAAAGAAAAAAAAGAAAAAGAAAATAGTTACATTTCACCAGGAATACACTCTCAAAACTTTGAAACAAAAAGTAAAGCATAATTTATTTATTTAAACTATTTAAGGCTTTGACCTCAGAAAATGCACAGCATACTACACTTTCTGCTAGTAAAACATTTCTGCAAGTTTTATGGTCAGTAATCTATGATCCAAAACCAACAACAGTGAGATACCAAAGATTGAACATATATATCTCTAGCCTGAAATGTTCATCTTTGAGTTAAAAGGTAAAAGTTTTATGAACCAGAAGGGTTTCTGAACAGTTATCAATGTCAGCATGGCACAAAAGATTTGTTTACATTCATTATGCTATTAAAATAGTAAGATCTAGCATACAAACCCCTATTTAGCAACTAACTGGTTTTCTTCTTTTTAACTTAAAAAGCTTAAGAGAATTATGTTCATAGCCCTAAGATGTTTTGAAAATAAGCCCAGGAAATAGAAACTGGTGCTCTGCAACTCTTTTTTCCCTCCCTTGATCAATTTCCCCAGAGCAGGCAGAGGCATTCAAAGAAATTCCACTGAAAAGTCAACCCTTTGGGCACTAGATGGAGGGACTCTATGTATCTTTCAATGAGTCTGTGGCCAAACAGAATTAGAGGCCTAAATATTGGCTTAGTAACATTAAATTAATAGGAAGTACTTTTATGAAACAATTTTAAAAGTAGGAAAAGGCTGTAGTACTCATTTTTTAATATATATATATTTTAAATTCATTTTGTATGTGTGGGTGCTTTTCCTGCATGTATGTCTGTGTACCACACACATGTACGGTGCCTAAGGAAATGGTGAGTCTTGTGAGTGATGGGAATCAAACTTGGGTCTTTTGCAAAAACAAGTTCTTCCCTATAGAGCCAACTCACCAGCCTTGTGAAACTAATTTTAATAAGACAAAGATCTCTCAATTTCAGCCGGTTTAAAGTATTTCTGAAAAATTATATATGTGCATCAATACACAAAAGTGTTATTTTGTGAACAGGCAGGTATTCTTGTAATATAAACACACACTAATCTCAGATCTTTTAAAAATGACTTAGATGAATACAGCAGGTCAGCAAGTGATTTTGAAAGGTTACTTACTGCATCTTTTTTAGTCCACACGTGTTTCCCTTTTGTACAGCCTTCTTGGGCTAAGAATGTATTAAAATCTGAGGTTTTTCTTCTACAACAGCTCCAATATTTCATCCTTTAAATTAGACAATGAATTAAAATCAGCATTACCATTGTAGCAGATGTAGTTAAGAAATAAAAACTCCAACTTTAAATATGTTCCAACTTGCAGTGGAACCAGTATTTATTCCTAGTGCACGAATTGACTTTGGGAGCCCTCTCCCCCATGGAGGAATATTCTCTCAGCCTCAATACACGGGGGAGAGCCTAGGCCCTGCCCCAAATGATGTGACATATTTTGTTGATTTCCCCCATGGAAGGCCTCACCCTCCCTGGGGAGTGGATGGGGAATGGGACAGGGGTAGGAATGGGTGGGTGGAAAGAGTGTGTGGGTTGGATGGTCGGTGGGGGGCATGGGAGGAAGAGGGAAATGGGATTGATATGTAAAATAAGATTGTTTCTAATGTAAATTAACAAAAGTTAAAAAAAATCTTTCAAGTATTTGTTAGTGAACAGTTAAAATGGATACATTCTAGGGAAACTAATAATTTAAAAAGCAGGGCAGCTTTTTATTGTATTAACTTAGATTTCAAGTCCAGTTTCTCACTGAGAATATAAACCCTAATCCCTCATGAAATTACCAAAAAGTAGTATGACCAAATATTCAAATATTCTAATATTCATACTTCAACAACCCATTAAAGAACATGGAACAGAGTAGAAACTAGTGTTTCCACACAGCAGTCAATCTCACAGAAGGGAAAACTACCGCTACTAACTCGAGAAAAACCCTGCACAGCTAACTAAAAATTACAGACCTCCAGGCATCTGAAGCATGTAGAAACAGCTGAACACTACATATCAATTCTATCATTATATAGAGACAAACTCAAAAATAAGAGTTATGGAAAAGCAAGGGTGTTCCTGGGTAATGGCACTTTACTGCCCCATAGCCAAAAATTCTAATGTCCTAAAAATAGATGCCAGTCCTTTAAGTAATTCAGGTCACATGGTAGGACATGCCTGTAAGTGCTCTACAGGAGACTAAGGCCTGAGTATCCCGAGACAGAGGCAGTCCACACAACCAGTAAAACCCTGCCTCAGATTTAAGAAAAAAATAAATAGAAATAAAAAAGTACAAATAAGATCATACTGAAAAATCACAATGATAACTTAAAAGCTGTAAACCTGTTTTTCTTCTGTGTTTAATGAAGGCAACTGTCCCTGCTCTTTTCTAAGGTTATTGTAAGGATTAAATGATAATGTAGGGCAAAACTTTCCCCAAAACTGCACGGCAATGTTTAAAAATATAAAGGTTTAATATTTTGATCACTACTATAAATATTTTAATTAGGAATGTGTAAGTTACCCCTCATGGAAAATAGGTACTCCAGAATGATATACACAGACTTCGTCTAAACTCTGTAGACCCTGGTATGTCTAAAAAACAAAGAGGAAAACATTAGCCATTTATCTCACACTTGCATTTTATACCTATCTGTAGTACAGTTACACATAAGGCCTTCAGAAAATACTTAAATAACAGCAGCTAAAAGAACACTTGTAAATTGATCAAGGAATGGAGAACGACCCTCTTTTGGACATGACTAAACTCTAGATTCCTTAAAGAAAGCAAAAACAGATTCCTTAAAGAAAGCAAACAGAAAGGTAGGCAACCTACTATACAAGATGCTGACAGCCTTTTAGGCATGAGGTTACAATGAACATGTTGGAAACAAGGGATGTATACTATCCACAAAACAGAATATAGTATACTCTGTGTGGGCATTATCAATTAATATAGGAAATCTAATAAGCAATCCTGGAAGTTTCAGTAGAATGGTGATATTTTATCCCTAACAAATGGCAAAATGAGCTGCAGACCTATATATACATCCATGGTTTGTCCGGAGATCCGGGCCCCACTGCTGCTGTACATGAAGGCTCTACAGACGAATTCACAAAAACTTATGTAATAAAAGATGGATGCAGCTGGTAGTGTATTTTTCTAATTTTGTATTCATATTAACTAAAGTACAGAGGACCAAAATTTTCTGCTTCTTTTTGGAAGTACAAAGTACTAGGTGTTTACCACCTTAAGTACATAAGTTCCAGGATGGTAGAATCTGAACTCACCATTACTGCCACCTAAATGTCTCATTTCTTATCTTATTCAATGGCAGCAAATGTTCTCAGTCAGCCAAATCTGAGTCAGGATGTCTGTCCTCTCTACCTCTAAAGTTTTATCATAAAATCTTGTCAAACTCAATGAAAACACTTTTCAGTTCAACCTCACTCAAGAACTAGCAAATTCTCTTCAAATGCCCTTTGATTAAGAAGCACCTAGTATTTTCCACCACACTCAAGTGTTCCAGATTGAGTAAGTACTTCTGCATGAGAAAATGACTACAATTCAGAAGAAGTATTTCTAAATAAAGCAGAGCACTGGCAATAAAGGAAAAAACAGAAAAAAACTTCATCAATGAAATCATCAGGTCAGTGGATACCAAACAAAACACCTCTGACAAAGAACTTTTAGCTAAAATATATGAATAATTCCTACAAGATTGTTGGGGAATTGATAGCAAAAAGATAGGTGAGATATTATGGACATCAGCCAGAGAGGAAAGAGCTGGTTAGCAGGCATACAAAAGGGCACTCATCCTTGACACCACTGAACTCAAGTACTAAGTGAGAAAACTGTATGCTCTACCAGCATTGCTGAAATAGAAAACACTGATACGACATGTGCCAATGTACAGACAAGTGGATCCAACCCACAAATATTGATAAGCATACAGAATATGCAACCTTTGAAAACTACCTCTACATATCTGCTAAAACCGAACACATACAATTTCATTTCTAGTCACAAAAGTTATACACTAAAGTGGTGTTATTACAAAGAAAAGCAGGAAGGAAAAATCAATTACTAATTGTGGCATACTTTCAATAAGGACATTTACAAAATACCAAAAAGGGCAAGATAGAGGCTATATTCCCTAAAACAAAGCTAACATAAGTGAAAGAAGACAAAGAAAGCAAAATACATGTTGAGAGATATAAAACTTTGAAGAGAAAATGTTTGAAGAGTAGATTAAGATGTGCTTCTCCAGATGTAGAGCCAGAGCCAAGCACCAGACCAAGCTCTGTGAGTCCAGTCGAAGAGAGGGAGGAGGAATTACATGAGTAAGGAGGGTGAGCATTATGATGGAAACCCAGATATAGCTAACCCCAACTTGTGGGAACTCACTGACTCTGGACTGACAGCTGGGGAGCCTGTATGGGACCAAACTAGGTCCTCTACATGTGGTCAACAGCTGTGTAGCCTGGTCTGTTTGTATCCCTAGTAGTCGAACCAGGATCCATCCCTGGTGCATGAACTGGCTTTTTGGGGCCCACTCTGTATGTCTTGCTCAGCCTCTGTGCAGGGGGAAGGGTCTTGGTCCTGCCTCAACTGAACAGTGCCAGGTTTTGTTGATTCTCCATGGGAGGCCTTACCCTTTCTGAGGAGTAGGTGGGGGTGGGTTGGAGAAAGTGGGGGCGGGGTGGGAACTGTGGTTGGAATGTAAAATGAAAAACAAAAAACTTAAAAAAAAAAAATACGATTTTCAATACTGCCATCTTCATTTTGAAAGCCGTCAAGTTTAAACTTGGATTTGTACAAGTTCTAACGAACTTGACTATTTCAATGAAATAGATTAAATATTTCTTAAATCCTCTATAATCTAAAAATATAATTTCTCATCACTAAAGGCACTTAAATTTGGGTATCTCTTAATTTCTACCTATATAAGGAAACAGTATCATAACATTTCCATGATTTTGTTATTACTGCGATCAGTTTTACTAGGTATATCTCCCCCTCCCTATTTTTGGTACCTTTATTAAGTTGAATTTCTATTAGTATTCTGCCACCTATATTGCCTTTCTCACTCTCTTATCAATAGCATACAACTATGAACCCTGTATCCTCTAACAGCAAACTGCCTGCAAGATTGGTACAATAATAGCACAAATATTAGGGCATAATAAACCACCTTTTGATTGGATTCAAGACCTACTCCAGAAGGTGGAATCCACATTTGAAACTTACTGAGGCCAAGAACCTGAGGTAGATAGACCATGGGCTCTGGGGGAAAACCTACTACTTCTCTGCTAAATGAACACAGGGAAAAGACATTGCTATCCCATAGATCACTGAATCACTCAAGTTCTTCAGCGAAGCTTCTTGCAGTTGGTGGGATTTAATACAGAGACAGTTTGACAGTGGGCAGACAGTGGGAAACCTTGGAGCCCTCAGCCATAAATGGGATGTCTATGTAAAATCCTCCCCATTCAAGGCTCAGGAATCTACGAGGAAGAGGTAGAAAGACTGTATGAACCATTGGTGGTGGTTGACTCCAAGGAAACAGCATTTCCAGATATAACAAAACTAATGTACGCATCAACAGAGACTATGATAGCATGCACAAAACTGGAAAAACAAATGGAAACCAGATAAAATTCCAAAAAGAGAAGTGGAAGTGGGCACACCAAACCAAGAAGCAATTTGCAACTGGTACCTGCTGAGAAAGGGGAAAAAAAAAAAAAAAATCAACCAAGCTCCATCCAGGACAGGCTTCATGCTCAGGAGGAGCTGACCAACACAAACCAGATTCCAGTTTGTGTGTGTGTGTGCATTATTTTGTCATGCTTTGGTGATTTATTTATTTATTTAGAGGGGAAAGAAAGAGGGGGGGGAGGGAGGGAGAGAGACAGAGAAAGAAGAGAGAGAGAATATTAAGTCAGGTGGGTAGGGAGGATCTAAAAGGGGTTGGGAGTATGAAAAGAATATTACCAAAATATATTTAATGAAAAAAAATTGAAAATACAATTTAAATTAAAAATTACCCCTTTGGGAACAGAAAGGATATGTGATAGGTAGGGTTTTAGTTGGTGGAGGGAGTAGTAGGGGAGGAGGGGAGGGACTGGGATTGTCTTGTAAAACAATCTTGTTTCTAATTCAAATAAAAAATGTGCAGAGAAAAAAAGTTACCCCTTCACTTACTACTTCTACCTTATACATATGAAGTTATACTTCCATTCCCATTCCACTTTAAGTAAGCAAGGGAATCTCAAACTTTATAGAAAGAAAACAAACTTGCTGAGACCCCCATCTTCACTATCAACTCTAAATGCTCTGGCAGGGATGAAGACACCATTTTTATTGTTATTTCATTATTTTATGAGTTTGGGTGTTTTGCCTGATCGTGTCTATGTACCAAGTGTGTGCCTGGTGCCCAGGGCACCAAAAGAGTGCAATGGATCCCCTGACCTAGAGTTGTAGATGGCTGTGACCTGCCGTATAGTCTGGGTCCCATGGAAGAGGAGTCAGGGCTCTTAATTGCTTGAGATAATTGTGTCCCTTATTTTAAGGACTGAAATAATGTACTCAAAAAAAAAAAAAAAAAAAAAAAAAAAAAAAAAAAAAAAAAACCAAACAACAACAACAAAAAAAACCAAATTGCCCCTGGTAATATCATGACAGGAGAAAAGAAAGTCAAATGGAAAGTTCAGACAATGATGAGTTTATGATAGGTGGGACTAGACTTGGACTGGGACTGCTTAATTATGCATACTCCTAGCCCTCTATTTAAGCCATCTCACTTACACATAATAGCCTTGTGGATGCTGCTGGATCTTTGTCCCTCTTCCCAATTTGATCATATGAATAAAAAGCCTTTTCTGTTTTTCTCAGATTAATTTATGTTTAAATTGGCCTACCAAAGATGGGTGGCCGAACACGGCTTCTTGGGGCATAGGCTGTGACCCTAAGTCCACCAATTACCCAGATTCTTGAAGGCACAATTACTCAAATTATACCATTACACGTATCAGCTATGTGCCAGGCACTGTTCTAAGCACTCAACATACAACAAAACAAGCAAAACCATATTATCATAATCCTCACTACCACAAAGGGAGAAGCTGGTAACTGAAGAAGCCAAGTAACGTAAAAAGTGTTAACAGGAAAAAGCATGAGAGTGTATACAGCAGATAGCTAAAAGATCTCATGATGCTTAACCATACTCCACATTTAATCATTTCGTAGCAACCCACTCTCCAGAATGACACTACCTAGTCTTCTACAACTGTATCCAAGCTGGTTTCTCGTCCTCCACTTTCACTTGAGACAGAGATCTCTTTACCTCTCCCTAAAATGGGCACTGTGGTACACAACCAAAATCCTGAACTCAGCTGAGGGACAGGAATGAAGTCTGAGGCCAGGCTGGGGTAGAGTGAGAACTGCCCCCACCAAGAGCACAAAACACCTCCTGGAAAAGGTAAAGGCTTACTTACCATCATAGTTTGAAGTAGCTCAAACCCTCATCCTGGTTTAGACCTTTCACCATCTTTGTCCATTGCTTTCAGATTATTGCCCAAGACCCTGACGGGAACCACTGTGTTTGATCCATGTATTAAATTTACGTCTGGTCTGCTTGAATTAATTATTCAATGGCCTATTCTGTTCTTCTGCTCACATCAGAAAATACTCCTTAGGGACAGAGGTTTTTGTTGGATACTATTATCTCCATCCCCTAAAACAATGCAGAGCACTTATCAAGTACTTAAGAGTATACCTCAATCAACTTAAAATTGTTCCAATAATTCTATCAGATGTTCCTCTTAGAAAGCCTGTTACTGTATTCATAGCCCTGGTCTGCACCGAAGTGCCTAACATGTAACTAGCCTTCAACTATTCACTAAGTTTAGAGTGAGTTGCAGTCCTTAGCTTCAATATTAAAATTTTACTCCATAAATCCAAAGTTTTATAATATATACCTTTGAACACCCTCCATTTTTACAAGAAGTCCCAATCTTAATTTCATCACTGTCTTCTTCTGCAATGGAAAAAAAAAAAGGTAACATAAGGTTTCATAATGATGTTTTTTTTAAACAAATGGAATAAAATCTGAAACTACAATATTAAAATAGAACCCCACTGTTGTATTAGTCTTAAAAAAATAATCTTTCTATTAAACAAGTCCAATTTAAGGAAAACATCGAGAAAAACAAAGAAGTCCACAGTCTAGTCGATGTGGTAGTGTACACCCCAGAACTTGGAAGGCCGAGGCAAGATGGTTATGAGTTCTAAGACATCCTAGATCACACAGCAGCATCCAAGACAAACTACTGGACAAAGTCTTGTCTCAAAACAAAACAAACAAAAAGCCCTCTTCCCAGGTTTTGCCCATATGCCCCCAAATGATGTACAATGTGTTTTCATTCTACAATGCAGTGCTTATCCAATTTTATAAAAATCTTATACAGCAGAAATAATGGAAGGTATTTTTGCCTCTTGGTATTAGGCAGAGGTCAAATGAATAATAAAATATATTTTATATGATGCACAAAAAATCTGTTAAGAAATTTGATAAAATAATTAAGGGACAATGAGTTTGCATACAGACACAATCAATGTACTGAATGTTCATTCATGGTATTGTTAGCAGTTGAAAATAAAGGAAGTTCTTCCTCCAATGTGCTACATTTTTACACACTCACTGCACTACAGCTATCTCTTTTGAATGGTTTCTTATATTGTAAAAAAAATAAAACAAAAACAAACCAAAAACCCCTGTCTTACCTTTCTTATCTTCTTCAGTCCCTGATGACAGTTTAAGTTTATCAAGTGCTTGTTTGAGGGAAGCAGATATTTTTAATTCCAAGTTTGTCATTGGCTCATCTGGGCTGGAGAATTTTGAAGTTATATTACCATCAATAGACCAAAGGATTTCTTTGTACTTAAAACTGATAACCTTAAACATCTTCCAAATGAAATATTAAGTATTTTACAAACAAATCTACCAACATTTTAAGTACAATAAAATGATTTTTCTATTAAGAAATTAAGTTTCAAAGATTCAAGCCACTGTTAGCATGAAAAGATACTACACAGTGGAGCTATAGGAAGCAAGTAAAGACTAAGAATGTAAACTCTGTGGAAAGGATTGTATAATCCTGTTCAGCTCATCCCCAAGCAAAATTCTGAGCACAACTCCTAAAGCACTAAGTGAAAGCATACTTATTTGTATTAGAGTCAATTAACTTTATGTGGAGAGATGACAGAGACTCTAAAATTTGGATACAACTTTATGACAGTATAAAGCCACAACCATCTTCTAATATTTCATAATGGTATAAGTTTTCATACATAATTTAAGCCTACTCAATAAGCAAATATTAAGTCTACTCATAAATATAGCAATAAAATATAGCATAGGTAATTCACACTGCATACCTAATGACAAACTAGCAAATGTTAATGAAGATGAAGTACACTAAAACAAGTAACTCATATATCAGGTGGATTTTAATAAAACATTTAAGTGATAGAGAGCTAGCTCACTGATTAAGACAACTTATTGTTTTTTCAAAGGATTGGGGTTTAATTCCTAGCACACACACAGTGGATCAAAAATTGTAACTTTGTGCTGGGTGGTGGTGGCGCACGCCTTTAATCCCAGCACTTGGGAGGCAGAAGCAGGTGGATCTCTGTGAGTTCGAGACCAGCCTGGTCTACAAGAGCTAGTTCCATTCCAGGACAGCCTCCAAAGCCACAGGGAAACCCTGCCATGTGTGTCATCGTGTTCCCCCCCCCCAAAAAAAAAACACAAAACACCAAAGTACAAAAATTGTAACTTTGTTTCCAGGAGCATCAAGGATACCAGGCACACAAGTGGTCAGACACACATGTAGGCAAAATATACCTATACAGATTAAATATAATAAAAAATACATTTAATTTTTCTCATAGCCTCAAGTAAAACTTATAAATATACAGTCTATCATTTAAACCAATGGTATTACCTCCTACTATTTTCTAGGAGGCTCTACTAAGATGTAATAAATTCAAAGATGAACTGTATTATAACAGAATTCTTGTCTTTTCCCAGTACGTATTTTTTGAACTGCCTAGTTTTGTGTCTGACAGCTCTTAAGACTGAATTAATAATGCAGGTGGAATAAAAGCATTTTGATCTTTAACTACAGCCTATACCTCTAATTATTAATGAGCAAGCAAACATCCAAAGTTAGGATTCTTATTTTGTGCTATAATATGTAATAGTCTACAAATTTATTTAAGTATAATAAAGTTTGGGAACACTGTAAATTTATAGTGTGAATAAAAGCATCAATTGGTTTTGATGGTTTCTCAGGCTTGTATTTAGAAAGAACTCATCTGGGAGACGAAGCTGGAACAGAAACCCTGTGTTTACATTCTGCAGTTCAAGTTCTGAAATAACCACTAAGTTTGAGGATCTTGTGTTACATGAGTAAACCTATTAATGTGTTTCAAAATAAAATCTTGTTTGAACAGAAGGTGACCACAAACAATCTAATTCTACTTCAAACTGAGCAAAAGCCATTTTTAAAGTATCTTGATAGGCAGGCATCAAGAAATCAATTCAACCTGAAAGTAAAGGTAAGTGATTAGGCCTTTGTTGGCTCTTCAATTCAAACTCTTTGTAGAAAAGTACAATTCTTTTACCGAATTCCACCATGCCACATGAGAAAGATTCACACCAGAAAATGAATGTACACCTTCCCAACTCTGTGTGCATGCCTTCAAAAATTAAAGGGTTATTACCAAAGGAAAAACCATATACAGTGGCCACTATAAATGTCTTTATATGCAATGTCAAAAGGAATTACACCAGCAAATGCCATTATCACAGTGTTACAAATATAAGCAGTATATAGCGTATACCTTGGCCTTTTTATTGCTTCAACTGGTTTAGGGGCTTGAATGATATGTTCCTGAAATTTGGGTTTTAATTCAGACAGTTCCTTCTTCTCTGTAGTCTTGACTTCAGGCTTGACTGGTTCAGGTGGCTTCTCACTGTTATGCCTACCTTTTGTACAGCCCTGTTAGAAGAAGATATTACTGAACAGTTATGCTTTCACCTATTTTACGTATGTATATATGTTTGTATTCTGGGTGTTTTAAAATGCCCTTTCAGATTATGTAAACATGCCAAAGCTCTTTATTAAAAAAGGTATTAGCCTGCAGTCTGAGTTGGTAGAATGCTTCTCTAGCATAAGTCTGGCATAGTGTCTGTATTTGAAGGCTGGAAGGTCAAGAGTTCAAGGTCATCCTTGGCTATATGTGGGCTTTGTGAGGCCCTGCCTTAAAACAAAAAAGTTTCAATCTAAGCTTCAACTTTCTATTAAACTGAAATATGACCTTAACTCAAATAATCTTTTAAAATTTATTTTTCTCATCTATAATATAGATGTAACTTCCTTTCTTGGTGCCATATAAACAATGAACCATCTCATCGGTGTCTTGATAAAATTAACTGCCTCTAATTGAAAATGTTATCATTGCCTGCCTATAACTTCCTTCCTTCTTCTCGGGACTACTAAAATCAACAATGTAAAATGACAAATGAATAGTTAACATAATAAAATCTTATTCTCTAAAGCAAACAATGGATTTTAGAGGCTATGAAAGAGTTGAGTCCCCTTTGTATAAAGTATGGTACAACCTGATAGCTGAGTTAATGGCTATCAGTGATCTCACTGCTCCATCTGAAGTCTAGGAGGATGTACTTTTAGAAAAATAATAAACAAACTAGTACTTACTACAATGCTTAGGAAGTCAGAAAAATCAGTTGTTCTTCTCTTACAGCAAGACCAACCCTATAAAACAAAGAAAAACAACAAACAAACCATTAAAACTGTGTTGTACTTATTTCCCTGAATCGTTACATTCTACAGTTTGTTACAGCCAGTCCAGTTTTTGGAAGGTGTTTCCTATCACATGATTTTTTAAAATAATTAACTAATCAAAACAGAAAATCAGAAGCTGCTTTGTTTAAGAATATTATTTGAGTTTTAAGAAAAGAAGTTTTTAAACACCATCTATTGCACTATGGATGTAACTCTCTGGAACTGTTGCCTATTGAGCACAAGATCCCAAGTTCAATTCCCAACAACCTCTCCAACTCATGCGTTTAAAGGATCTGAGGAACAAGGTGATTAACTTGGGGGAAAAAGACGTATTAAGTAACAATTACAAAACTGTAGTTTCTAAAGAAACTCACCTTTCAGCCAGAAGCAAGTGAGGTAAGTGAAGTTTTAACAGACTACCAAGTGACTCTTTGGGATTAAAGTAGGGAGTTTCAAAACTAGGAAAGGAGACAGATGTCACCTGTTGTAATGCTCATTCTGCCTACCAAGTTAAAAAAATGCCAGGACAGAACACTTGGAATGAATTATCAGCAGGGCAGCATTTAGGTGACACAGAGCGAAATATGCTCATAGTTAAATTAATAAATGAATTTAGTGGTATACCATCTCAAACATACATCTTTGGCTTTGGGTATTAAGAGCAGCCCTTGACTCGAGAAAGTTAAACCAGTAACAATAAAGTAAGGCTCAATAATTCCTCTTTGGTAAGGTAGGAAAGTAGCTGCCTACGTGTTTTAAAGCCTTCATCATCTTCATTCTTTCTTAACCCTCAACAAAAGTCAAAAGGAACAAAGAACAAAGGCCCCTGGGTCTGATGCTCTCTCCTTGCACTGCTTGCCTCACTGCACCCGGTAAGTTGCACTATTGGTTCTTTCATTGTACTCTGGTTTTTATTAAAAGGCACAGTGCCATTGAAGAAGGAGTCTAATTTTAATTGACTCGGGAAAAAAAAAGATAGTTTAGTGAAGGTGGCTCTTAGTTACTGATTTTAATTCTTTTTTTCTTCCATTTTTTATTTAAATTAGAATAAGCTTGTTTTACCTGTCAATCCCTGTTCCCTCTCCCTCCCCTCCTCCTGTGCACCGATTTTAATTCTAATGTAGGAGAGAGTAAGGAAATAGAAATACAATATCCCTGTATCTCCAAATTCATATTTTTCATGTGGACCAGCCTCTGAAGGGATAGAAGTTTTGGCAGTTAATTTTTTAGCAATATAAGTATTTCCATGTTTCTTGCCTGCTCTTAGAAAGAAAAATTAAATACCCTCTAATTTATTTTTTTCCTTTTCTTGTGAACTATGGAATAAGATGCACATAAGCCAATTACCACAATCTTATAGTGTTTAAAGAGTGTTGATATTATTCAACAAATGTATCTCTAAGAGAGTTTTACTGACTTAATCGCTCGCGCACATGCATGCATGGCTGCGTGCGTGCGTGTCAGAGAGAGAGAGAGAGAGAGAGAGAGAGAGAGAGAGAGAGAGAGACTTAGCATTTAACTGGTACCTGAAAAAAATGCAAACAAATGTGCAAGCAGCTAAGTCTATGTTATCTGCTCAGGTCTAGGTGAGGAAACAAGGTTCCAGAGAGCCCTTTGTCTAGCTCCTGCTTTGATCTTTTCAGCCTCTTTAACAGTGTGTGTTGAAGTTATGTGTGTTGAAACTGATCATGAAGGTGTATTTCTCTTTCTTGCAAAAGAACTGTTTCTTGACTGCTTTTCATTTACTTCTTATTGTACTTTTCTTACTATTTTCTCCTATTTCCTAACCATAGCAGTTTTTCCCATTTTTGTTCCTTAAGTACATTTGTGTCCTCAAGTTGTCACCTCTAGTTCAGTGATTTTTTTTTTTTTTGGCATCTTTGTATGTAATGTCCTTATATGTCCTACAAATAACATCAAACCATTCTTAACCTGAAGTATTTTTATTACTCTCATTTCTGTAGTTGTGTTGGTCTTTATTATCTCTGTTCATTGTGTGTGAATGTGTGTAAGGGTAGAGGCCAGAGGTTAACATCTAATCGTCCTCTGCTCTCCACCTAACTTTTTTGGACAAGGTCTCTCTCTCTCACTTTTTTTTTTTTTTTTTGGACAAGGTCTCTTACAGAACTTGGAGCTTGCTAATTCATCTAGATTAGCTACACAGAAAGGCCCAAGGACCTACTTTCTGTGACCAGGGTTAAAGATAGGCCCTTCACTTTGATTTTATGTAGGTGCTGGGGATCGAAATTTAGGTCCTATGCTTGGAGTGACGTCAGTATCAGCCTTTCTCCAAACTCTTGTTGTATGTTGGTATTCTATAACTATGTATTATATACTTCAGCTTTCCACGACTGCTATGGCCAAGATCCCATGGCCCACTAAGTTTCAGGAAATACAAGCACTGACAGAAAGCCACTAGTTTCCTATTTAACAAAATGAGTATTTAAATTTCTATTGACAATAAACAATGTTATAAGGGGAAAATATTTTAATATTCAAGGAAAGACAGTAACCTTATGCTTACATATTTAAATTTAACTTTCTTTAAAAATGTATGAGTTACTGAGAACTTGCCTATCACTTTATGAATTTTAAAAACGTAACATGGAAAACTTGAGCAAAACAAAAACACATAAAAAAAAAAAACCCACCATTGTACTACTTCTCTGATTCTTCAGCTCACCAAGGAAGTAAAGGAGAAAATATGGTACCATGTTTCCAGTAAAACACTCCAACTAAAGAAGCATTAAACATCTGAAACAACCAATTTAATACCCAGATGAAGCCATTCTTATTAGCCAACAGAGACAGACTAAAGACTGAGACCAATATGACTGCTTTTATTTAACTTCCAACTTAGGAAGGGAATACACCATTAGGAAAATGGGTAGAGATATAAATAACTTTATAACTGGAAAATATCACTGTCTACTAGCTTCTGTCTTTAAAGAATATGCTTAAAGCACCCAAAATGGCCATTAAGAAAAACTGAGAAGCTAAGGGAGGAAACCAAAAAAAGTATATCTTTAAGTTTATTATGTAAATATAAAGGAACTGAAAAGTATCTTGTTCCTACCTTCAGGGCATCATGAAATACAGGTACACCTGGGTGGTATGTGCAAGCATCTGGTCAGAAACAGAAAAAGAAAACAACATAGCTGTTTATTATTAGAAGTTTATGAATCACTCCTTCAGGTTGTTAGGGTTTGATCCTTTTTCCAAATGCAGGTAAATTATTCTTAACACGTCATTAATTCCTTGTATTAAAAACAGTAAGAGTTAAATCTCTAAGTGCATGCTACAGGAATAAAAGTAATCCAGAACTGTTCAAGAATAACATTCGAGAATATTCTAGATCAGTGGTCTCAACCTTCCTAATGCTGGGACCCTTTAATATAGTTCCTCATAGCTGGGTGGTGGTGGCGAATACCTTTAATCCCCGCATTTGGGAGGCAGGGGCAGGGGGGGTTTTGAGTTCGAAGCCACCCTGGTCTACAAGAGCTAGTTCCAGGACAGCCTCCAAAGCCACAGAGAAACCCTGTCTCGAAAAACAAAACAAATATATATATATATATATATTTCCTCATGTTTTGGGGACCCCAACCACAAAATTATTTTGTTTTTTACTTCATAACTGTAATTTGGCACTGTTATGAATCATAATGTTAATATCTGTTTTCCAATGGGTAACTCAGGTAAAAAGGGCCGTTTGACCCCCAAAGGGGACGTGACCCACAGATTGAGAACCACCGTTTTATATTCCTTCATCTTTGTAGTAAAGTTTGCTTAATACTAAACGTTAAGTCCTAATGATTCTGGCAATATTTCTTTTTTATTCTCTAAAAATTTCATACATGTATACAAAGTACCTTAGTCACACCCACCTGCCTCACTTGTACCCCACCTACTCCCACCAACCCATCTCCTTTCCCCAGAACTTCAAGCCCACTGTGCCCAACTCCCACTGCCTGTCTATATGCATACACACTTCACTAGCTAGCCATTCCTGGGAATAAAAGTCCCTCCTTCCCCAGCAGCCATCAACTGCCAACAGTGGTTCAGTTTAGCTTAGGGGAACCACAGACTTCCCTTCCCACTCTGTGCTGGAATATTTGAATTAGATGATGTTGTATTGTGCAGTCTTGTGTAGGCAAGCACAGCTGCTGTGAGTTCATGTATGGAACAGTCATGTCATGTTGAGAGCACAGAATTTCACAGCACCCCTTCCCATCTTCTGTTTGGCCATATCTCAATTATCTTTTCAGAAAAATATCAAACTTCCACATACTTAAACCATAAAAATTGCTCGAGAGTCTCTAAAATGGTATTTTTTAAAAAAATTGACTCAGCATTTTAATAACTACTGTAATATCAAACTGTTGCATTAGCATTCTTAACAAGTAATTCCCAAATACAAACCAGAGTTGAGTTCTATAGTCCAAGTTTCAATAACCATTCATCACTTTGTGTTTCCAGTCTCTCTACATATTACAGAATAACTCTCATACAAAATATGTCTATTATCACTGGCAATGTGGAGTATTTTGTTTATAACAGACACACTTATTATCTGAAAATACAGTACCATTAGGTTAGACAAAGCCAAATTACTCAGTTCCTACTTCACTCAACCTTCCAAGTTTAATTTTTAATTCCCTACAATATGATTTCTGGTATTGCCTTGAAACTTCTCCTACCCTCTACTAATATCTAATATTACTTCCTTAGTAAGTGCTGGTTATGTGTACACAATACTAGCTAATGGAATGGAGTAAGAAGAAAACCCACAAGTTACAGAAAGGCTACTACATACAGCAGAGTTAGAATAAGGAAGTGGGTACGGAAATGTATATGCAAAGACATGAAGCTGAGAGGGGAATGCCAGATCATTTAATGTACAATCACTGCCATAAAGTATACAATGTATACACAGCCAGACATAAACAGTCCAGGATATCAGGATTTTCACCATGTAACCAGCATGAATGAAATGTGAAAAATCACTAGTGTCAAGAGGAAAGGACAATTGGATGGACAACTCCTTCTCTTGCATTTATCAGGTTTACCAGTTTGCTGAAATTCATGTTTAACGATATAAAGTTATAACAGATTAGCGGCTCTAAGAGCTTCTTTTTTCTCCAGCTAGGTTTAGCTGAAATTTTCAGTTGTCACTGGTAGCTGCTGTGCGGCTTGTAACCGAGTGTCTACTTTAGAGTACTTAACACATGCAGATTACTATTCTCATTTTTAACTATTTTTAATTTTTACTATTTTTAACACATATTGGATCACACACTAAAATGTCCTATGATCCTGAAGAGTCTAACTTTTGTATACAAGGAAAAACATAACTAACAAAAATAAACTTAAAAAAGATGAAATAGGGGGCTGGAGAGATGGCCCAGCAATTAAGAACACTGGCTATTCTTCTAGGGGACCCTGGATCAATTTCCAGCACCCAAGTCCCAGATCACAAGTATCTGTAACTCCAGTTCCAAGGGATCTTGACACCTTCACACAGACATATATGCTGGCAGATGAAACACCAATGTACATAAAATAAAAATGAATATATTATTTTTAAAAAAGAGATGAAAGAAGTCAGTAACATGGAAATTATACCACAGCATTAAGAAAGGGAAGAATGCACACAGACTCACAGCTTCTTCTTTTTTTTTTTTTTTTTTTTTTTGGTTTTTCAAGATAGGATTTCTCTGTAGCTTTGAAGCTTATCCTGGAACTCCCTCTGTAGATCGTGCTGGCCTAGAACTCATAGAGATCTGACTGCCTCTACCTGTGCTCCCAAATGCTGGGATTAAAGGTGTGCACCACCACTGCCAGAAAATGACTTACAGCTTCTTACAAATAACACATCCATCACTGTACTCCTTGACAACATATGACCATATTGACACCTTCAACATTACCCCTTTAATTTTTAATGTCAATGTATGTTATTCCCATTCCAAAATCCTTTCCCTTAAATCCAGTGTTACCAACTGCCATTCATTCAATGAATTTACTTGGCATTAATCCCTAGATTCTAAAACAATTCCCACTTTGCTAAAGTAAATAATGTTTTCACCAGGTGACTGGAGTTCCCTGCAGTATGTGATGCTGTTAACAGCCGCAAACTGATGACTGTTTATTTACTTGTGTGTCTTTCCTAGCCTGGTTTATCTTTTCTAGGTACTACACCATTCTACACAGAGACTAACTTCCAGTAACAAGCTGGTATGTCTCCTGAACTTTGAACCAGAATCTAGTACCATAAAAACATTGCCCCATGCTATAAGGCATCAATGAATTTAGTATTAACGTAGAATGTGCACATAACCAAGGCAGTTTACCAAGTGCTGTTGCCTGGCTTCATCTTTTCCTTTAAGTCCTGTACCAGTCTTATTTCGAAAGAAGTCACCGGTTTACTGTGGTACCAAGATAAATATTTTAAACACCTCAAACGTGAAAAAGATCTTTAAGGTACTGGTTTTAAACTCTTTCACAATGCTCAATTGTGTTACTAACACGCGAAGCTCGGGTCTGCAATGCGATACTTCACAGTGTCGCTCAGTTATGTAACAAGGTGACAGTCCAATACCTTGCATATAAAAAGTGTACTATGTTAGGTGAACCTGAGATAAGTTTTGTCACTTTGCACAACAGTCTCGCAATCTGCATAATTATTCCACTCACTAATGAGACTGACTGGCACCTCTGTTTTCACCCAGCACAGGTGCTTTTTTTTTTCACTGTTCATTCTCAACTAGACCACGCCGGTTTTGAAGGAGCACCACTGGGGCTAATTTCATGCTGGTTGGAGTGGTTTAAAACTGCAGGCCCCAGCAAAAGTATACCGAAAACGTTGCTACTGTGCAACGGATGTGTAAAAGTCATTTCCGCAATCAAGCACAGTTCATTTAGAAAGCAAGTAATTTACAGGAGAGGAGGCTGAATGAACACGTGACAGTACGCTTTTCACTAGTACTCAAATGCAACCAAAAGTCCAAGGCACGAATGATCCACTGCCCACCACTATGGACCTCTCACGACCAGGAAATCAAGGCCATGACAAAGCGTTAACCGGGTCAGGTTAGCCCTGGAACGGAGGAGATGCCCTCCGTGGAGATGAGGGCCACCGGGGACACTGAAGCAAGCTGCCGGCCCTGCGCTCCTAGGGAGGGGCAGACACACGTAGATGCTCCCGGGAGCGGAGCGGCGTGAGGGCCGGGGTCGGGGGCCGGGGCCGGGGAGCGGCGGGG